GCAACGCCTTCCTTTGGCTTCAGCGCGGTGGGGTTTGTTTTTCCCCTCAGAAAAGCGGGTTTAACCTCACCGCCTGCCCCTCAGGTCCCCCCAAGCGCTTCCCGGTGGCAGCGGTGGATGATATCCTGAAGGATGTGCTGGGGAGCTACCTGAGGGAGCAGCCCTACGAGCCGGCCCGGTGCAGGGACATGGCGAAGGACATCGCTGAGGTACCGCTGCGCTCGAGGCGCGGGGCGGCCATTTTGTCCTCACGCCTCGACGGGGTGTCAGGGAGGTGGCCGCCGGGGTGGGGAGGCCCCCAAATATAAATATCAAGTGTAAAACAAATGCCGGAGGAGGCTGTTAAGATGCACCAAGTTTTCGTCTGAGATGGGCGCAGGCTTATATGAGTTAATAATGAGGTTTGTTCAAGTAGCGGTGGCTCTGGCCAAGCGCATGGTTCGGTAAAAACCCCATGCTGTGGTTGCCCTATCCAGAAATATCATTAATAAGTTTAAGTATGTATCAGACCTTTCCAAAACAGGCCAGTTATGGTTGTGGCTGAATTCTGCACAGAGACACATGTGCAAACTCTTTCTCGATTAAATCCAGTCTTGCTGCTAAGACTGTCCTAACCCTTTAGTCTTTCAGCTGATTTGGCCTAGAAGAGCTCACTGGCATTAAAAAAGCAGTACTGTCTGCTCTTCCTTTCCCCCCTGTAATCAGCAGTTAACTATGAACAAATATGGAGGAGAACATGGTATTCACTTGCAGTAACTCCTTATTTAACATTTGTGCTTGCATTTCAGTAGTCCAGCAGGAAGATGTGCCTGTTCTTAGCAGATCGCAGTGTTGGTTCTCTTATGAAACAACCACAGCAGCGTACATGCCACCTGTCTGCAGGGCTGGAGGAGTTTGCAGTAGATGTTTCAAATGCTGCTGTTCAAAGATTGTCATCAGGATTGTTGCAAGGGCTCTACAGTGCAATGCTTGCACTTGTCTGTCCCAGAAAACCAAATCCCTGAGCATCCCCTGTAAAGAGAGTTCATCACTTGTGTCTAAACTTGTTTTTCTCTTGCAGGTTATTAAAGCTCGGGTAAAAGACCTTATGATACCAAGGTACAAGATCGTTGTGGTGACACATATTGGGCAGCTGAATGAGCAGAGCATGCAAATCGGAAGCAGGTGCCTGTGGGACCCTGCGAGTGATACATTTTCATCGTATGTGTTCAAGAACACTTCACTGTTTGCTCTTGCAAATGTCTATGCTGTCTATTTTGAATAAGGAGGTAGCTGAGTTTAACGGCAGGAGAAATGAACATTCAGCCTAACTCTTCCTGTTTCTGTTTTTGAAAACGGTTGTGAAGGACCAAGGCAACTTGCATCTGTTTTGAAATGTGGTTACCATAAGCCTTTCGGTGGTGAATGTAATAACTCTATTTCCCAGAGCTTTCTCTGGGAAGTGATTATCTGTGAAATGCTGTTTTGCACCTGGTTCTAGCTGCTTTCAGAACCAGGTATCCCTGTAATACTTTTTTCTCCCCAAATTTGCCCTCACTATGTGGTGCCCAAGTAGATACCACATTTTTGGAAAGTAAACCAAAAGCATTTTAAAACTATCCCCATGAAATGGCGTTTGCGGGCAGTTAAGCACGTGCCAGGCCCTGTGGCCCCAGCTCCATGCACATGCTGTATTGCAGATGCTGTGTTCCATTGAGCCGCAGTAGCTCGGTGCTGCAAGTTACCCTGCCCTGCCTGGGGGATGGAGGGATCCCTTCAAACCTTCCTGCCTGCCCCAGAGGTGCCCCGGGTGGGCTCTGCAGTGGGAGGGCAGCAGAGAGCAATAGAGTCAGGAGCTTTGCTTGCCAGGGGCTGGCCTGGTCTGACCAGGAGCTGCCTCTGAACCCTGAGAAAAGCCCCGAGTGCAGAAAAGGTGGCTGAGAGAAGGTGGTTAGTTGACTAGCTCAGTCCCATAGTGTTTGAAATCAAGTGAAAAATGTCTTCAAATTATATCATGTTTAGAGTATATAGATCTAGCATATTTGGGCCCTTCTATTAAAGGTGCTTGAATCTGGCAAACAAAGTTGAATTGGGGTTCTCGGCTGATACCTGCCTATAGATAAGAAGGGAAATACAGCCCTCTGAGCCCAGAGGTGGATTTCCAATCTCCCTGGTGCAAATTAACTGTCCACTAGGTAGGACCTCAGGTAGCTGCTCCTGGAAGCAGCTGGAACAGGAAATAAAGCATGGCTACTGCCTGCCCAGTTTAGGGGCTTGTGCTGACTGATCACAGGTCTCATCTGCTGCAGCTGTTCCTCTGCTGTGGTGGGGGTCTGACGCATGGGCTTCACAGCGTGACGCGCTTCGCGGAGCTATCAGCGCTGTGTTGGTTTGATTCAAAGACAGACTTTTTGCTACCCGTGTTTCACAGCTGAAACTTGCTGTTGGATTTTCGTAAGCAAGAGAACAAGCATATAATAAATCGCTTATTTTATTACATTTTATGTGCAAAGCTGAAACCAGATGGGAAGAAATATTTGTACTCATGACTAAAAGTTTAACTCTAAACCGCTGTAAACACTTTGTGGAATCCAGACAACCCAACCTGAGCTGTCATTGCAGCCGTTTGCTGGTTTGCACTACAACATTTAACATTCAGCATTTACTCCCCAGCGTACTCCAAAGAATACAGTTAAAGAATACAACTGAAATAATTGTGTTTTCTGTCGTGATTATTTTAATACATGAAAGCTGTGACATTGAACCTCATCAGCATCTGCTGTGTTTTAGCACAGGGAACTGATCTCTCTCTCACTACAGCCGATGCTGCAGCAGGTTGTGGTAAGCAACTTGGCTACTTCGCGCTTTTTTAGCGTAGACATTTCCGTGGTGCGTTGTAAGTCTTGCTTTGTGTCAGGCTTGACATTGTGGATTTCTTTGCTGTCTGTCTCCAGCATCTGGTCTGTGTACATCGAGGAGTCGGCATAACCGTTGCTTTCTTGTGAGAAAGGCAGGGGATTTTCACTCTCTGTTGCGTAAAAATGAGAAGCTAAAAATTAGAAGTTGTGGAATTGTGAGGCATTTATAATACTTATCTTTACTAGAAAGACAGACCAGCCTACAGCCAGGGAGCTGAAAGAATTGGCCTCCATGCTTCTGATGTGAACAGCCGAGATTTACCAGATCACTGACTTCTCACCAGGGCAGTATTGAAATAGATATGTGGAGTACAAGGTCTATGATTAACATGTTAAAAACCCAGTAATTTTGGATTTATATTGAAGAGTGTTCTTTGTAGGAACATTTGCCTTTTCAGTCTTATGCTGATATATTTGCTTCGAAGGGTAAAACTGTGATTTGATGTGTCAGTGCACTTGATCAGCATGTTAACCTGGGTTTCCTGAAATGCAGATATTATGTTAAGGCGTCAGATACCCCACAATTTCAAAGTTTCTGGATGTTCCCACTTAAATTACGCTTGCGATTCATGCGCATTTTAAATACCACAGTATGATTGGGCACTGCCTTGTGGAGTTTGTAAAGGTATAGTAGTTATCTTGCTTAGTTTAGCAGTGGGATTTTCTTCTCCTTTAACAGACTCGGGTAGGGTGTTGCAGGTGGCATTTCTTTTTATGTTTAAAGCTGCTGCTACAATAGAATTTTCAGAAAGGCAGATGTTACTGCTTGGAAAGTATAGAAAGCCTCTGTTCCTGTCACCTGCCTTGTTTATTTTCTTTTTTCTAGTTATTTTAACCTACTGGAGTACAGATTTCTAGCAGTGCATGTAATGGCTGAATTTTCTGACTCTATCTAAAAATGTGCTAATAAATATAAATATATACAGCACCATGTGAAGATACTTAAATTGCAGAGTATATATTCAACATACTTTAATTGTAATATTCTTAAGTTGTAATAAAATTTCTGGTTTCTGGTGCGGAAAGCGGTGTGTCCTACTGAAGACAACAGTAAAAAACTTGCATTGACTGCAGCAAGGCTTGTCTCCGACATTTAAAACGTCATGGCATAGAGATTTTCAGTGATAGCCTCGGGCTTAACTCGTGGTTCCTCAGGCTGACTTGGAAAATCTTGATCTAAATGTTTTTTATTTAGCAAAATAGCACACTAAGGTAAGCCAAGCAAGCTGCAAGGAAACAAAACCCGTGAAGTTGCACCACCTCGCTTGCTATCTGAAAGCAAAGCCCATGCTGTTTGTGCCTGAGATGCACCTATTTAGGGGAGCAGCAGAAATGGAGGGCATAGCTCTGCCCATAGGTACAGCCTGCAGGTGATTTGGTTCTTCCGAATCCGCTCAGGTTTAGGCACACCTTGCAGGGCTTGCTAAGCCTGTAATGCATTAATTGGTACTTACCAAAGAGGTAGCGATAATCAGTCAAATGCCTTTTCCACCTAGAGCCACCGCAGGTGAAGACGATGGCTCTGACAAAGTCCCTCCCGCAGAGCTTCACCGTGTTTCCTTCACCTTTTCCTTCACATGCCGCAATCAGGAGAGCGAGCAAGGCCAGCGCCAGCACTGTGCCCCTCATTCTGCAGACGCGGTGCTTTGAGGCTGGGTGTCGGCAGGGCAGAAGGGATCTGCAAGGACGAGGCCGAGGTGGGGAGCTCTGCTGAAATCCTCTCATTTATACTGATGGCCCATCCGCTCCACTGAGTAACGGCTCATTCGGAGGATGACTTAATGTTTGCTAAAAACAAGTTAATCACTTGTTTCCAGTAATGTTTTAAGTGCTTTAGGATTTGTGCTGGGATTTTGTCAGGTATTAAAGACTTCTTAAGACTGTGTAACTGCTTTACTGTAGGAACACATAGTATAACATGTTTATAGGGTACAGGCTTAGATCAATACCATTAATGTGTATGTTCTGCAGAAATGAAAGGGCGTTTATTACATGATTTGTAGATAATGGGTTTTGTCTCTGTGTGTTTCCCACACAGCTGTGCTACCACAGCCTGTTGCCCAGTCGTGCCTGTTATCACAGCTTAAGCACTGTCAGGTCTTTTTCTGTTAGTGATCCCAACCTAAAAGGGAGTTAATTTCCAGTAATGTCCACAGTTGCATATCTCTTCATTACCCCTGCCTTGTTCTCTTGCCAATCATCCCCTTGTCAAGCTGGCAACTGTGGATGCTTCAGAAGAATCTGCCAGTGCCAGGCAGTCTCTCATGAGAAAATCATGTACTAAGGGGTTATTGTGGCAAATGTCCTGCTATGATTCCTAGTGCGCTGTGTGATAGGACGCAATCCTGCAGCGTGCAGAGCATTTGAGCACAGTGAACTTGCTGTAACAAACTGTACAGAGCAACCTAGTTGTTTGATACCTTGTGTCCGTAGGTATTTGCCTTGCAGATACATGGATGCAGTGGGGTAGCTCCACTGCGGCTGCAGGGCTCACGTGTCTCTGCAGTGAGGCCTGTGGACGTGGCCCTTGCCCAAAAAGGCGTAGAAGAGAGAGGGAAATGGCTCTGAACAAAGCACCGAATAGCTACAGATCGGCGTCCTGGCCGTCCTTTTCATTTTGATAATATCTGAAAGACAGAAGTGGGTTCACTGAAGCAGCAGCAGTGGGTTCACTGAAGCAGCAGTGATACTGCGCTCCGGGACCAGCGGTTAGTAGATTGGTTATGCTGCCATGGATGTTATTGGCTGCAGTTGCTGTAAGCGTCTATAAAAAATTCTTGCAATAAAATGCTTTAAGGAGAAAATTTGTCAATTATGAGGTCAAAAATTCCATGTTTAAGAACAAAATATGTGAGGAACTTTGGAGATCTTTAGCACTTCCTAGCACCACAAGTGTTCTCCAGCACCATAATGTTACAGCTAATTAGTTTATATGATGTGCAGGGTGAATTACGATGTGTTACAGCCTTGACAGAAAGCTCATTTTTTACCAGTAGCATCAGTAAGTAAACAGTCATGACCACCGATGGAAAATATATGGTGTATTTTGTTCAGATTTGTAATAATGGTTAACACATGATTCACCTTAATGGATGTCTGTCTTTGAAATGCACAAAGATTAATTTTATGTCAAGGGTAAACTTGCATGTTCGCTGTAAAATGTGCAGAACACAGAAGGAAGTGAATGTTAATGTATCACAAATGATCTTTAACTTCAGTGATGTGTTTAAATGTTAGACGTTTATTGTCGAGCTAATTGAGAGGGTCTGAACATTCTGTGTCTATAAAATACATGTCTTGCTACATAATGCTTTCAAGAGCAGGCAGCTATTGCCTCCGTCAGCTGGCAGGCAGAGCGCTTTACTGC